TGTGGAGCAGACCTCATGTTTAGCTCCTAATACCATCTATATATATTTTACATACAAATGCATTGTAAATTTTCTATATTTATTTATTTAATTACATTATATTTGTAGTAGACCATAGTTAAATAAAAATTAAGAACTAAACAAAATAGATGGACTTTTGAGGAGAATCTGGGAGTTCAATAAAACATCTTTAGACTAAGTTCTTTTATAATTCTGGGCTAGGGTACTGATTTGGTGAAGAGTAGCTTATTATGGGGAAGAGACAGAAGGCAATTCTGGCTGCCCTTTTATATTCAGGGAATTTTTGTCAAATTTAGGGATTAAAGATCTACTATGCTATTCTAGCCCTTAATGTTGGGAACAAGGCTACTTGCTGAAAATATATATTTTTTTTTTTTTTTTAGTCTCTCTATTATGCTTTCAACAGTGTACTTTTATCTATCAATTCCCTTGCACAAAACTCCATTTCACTCACTAAGTGGAAATAAAAACTAAATTCTAGTTGGATAGAAGAATATAATGCGAACAAAAATCAGGCAATATAAGTATTCATATTTCAATACTATTGCTCTTCAAGAAAAAAGTTAAGAAAAACATCTCTATACCTAGCATTTTGACAGAGCATTAATGCTATCTGCATTCACAACATTTTAGGGCTTAGGACAGACCAGGTAAATTTAATTAAATTGAATAAAAATTTATAAAAATATAAGCAGATTCACTTAAAAATACAGAAATAAGAACATAAAAATAAATTCATTATTTACTGTGTCATGTACCATACACAACATTGGCGATTTCCTTGAGAATTAAATTTCCTTAATGTCTACAGCTACTGTGAATTTCACTAATATGGCATTTCAACAGCATACTGAAAAGGTTGCATAGATTTGTCCAGATAAAGGTTTGTATTAAGGGGAAATAAAACTACAACTCAGAATAAGAAAATGGATTTCCAACAATTAAATTGCTGAGGCCAGGGGAATACTATATGTTTCTGCTACAGGCAAAACACTGAAAGAAAGCATATGCCAGTTTGAATATACTTGAGGCTTGAGGAAGACCAAAAACTTAGCCATCAAATTTAATAAAGGACACTGAGAAAAATTACTTCATGCCAAAATTTAATCTTAATGTGAATAATTATAAAATTATAGTTTGGGCTTATTAAGAAAACATGGAGATACACTGTGCATGCTACCTTCAGGAGAAAAGAAGCATGACTTGTTCTACTGAATAACTAATCATGAAAAATAACCTTCTACCCTATTTCTACATTAACAGTCTTTCCTAACAACATTTGAACAATTTTGTTTGCATGTTTACTTTATAAGCCAGGCTCAGAATTAAATTTCTAACAAAGAAAAATCCCTAGAATTTTAGAAGTCAATCAGGTGAATTCCTCTCAGAAAAAATCAGTCTCATTGCCCTTGTATGGAAATCAAGTAGTAAGGGATAGGGAGAATATGTAGGCTGACATATATGTCAAGGTTTCTCAGCATGTCAGAAGAACTACAAGTTTCTAGACTTATATTTTCACATTTTTCTTCTCAATTATTTGTTACAGCATAACAATTCTTTTATGCAATACTCTCTACATATATTGTAGAGGTAAAGATATTAGAGACAGGAAACATTTGTTGAGCCATTGCTTCACTTTTTTTTTACCATGGAAAATTACTCTTTATAGTACATTTACCTGTGATGACGGTCTTGGAACAAGGGCCATTGCCTAGAGTGCCCACAGCTTTTTATCAGACCTGTGGAACCATCCACTGGAGAGTGCTCAGGCTTTCAGACAAAGTTCCGTGAGCAATGTTTATAAGAAGTGAAGGATTTTTCTGGGCATGCCACTCCTTCACATTCAAGATGCTAAGGAAGAATGGCTCCTGCTGTCATGTCTTTCTTAGAAGACTATTTGGAATATTATTTGGGATGTCTGATTCTAACAAAGTGCTTTTAGAAGCAATATTGCTAATAGAGATTTATAATTCTGCTCCATGATCAAGAAGCCTAAATAATGTCTGCTGTATACTTGAGCTCTTGAGCATCAAAACTCTTTTTGTATGAAATAATGCCTCTATATCATTATATTTTCTTCTGAAATATTTAAGATGCTGTGTCAGGGTGCTCTGCCTTGGATGCTCTGTCCTGGAATGTGGTAAAGCAATTCACACAATGTCCTATTTGCAAAGTTATTATTGGTGGATTGAGGGGAGCACCAAATGCTGGTTTTGGTGTTGAATTATGCAAAATCCACTCTGGCAACTAACCCTGAACTAACATTCTGATAGGGAGGCAAAGATCTGGCAGATAAGCTGCTAAGTTCACCTGGATCCATATAACTAGCAGTCATATTTTATTTTATAGGAGTCCATTTTCATACAGTTAGGTTCTTCTGCATCTTCTTCTTTGAAGTGGATGAAGATTCCTCTCTTGGGTAGAGGATGCCCTCTCCCCCTCCCCAGATATACTCCTTGGGGTTAAGAGAATGAGATCTGCACACAAGAAAACGTGCAGTGAGTTATATCAATCTCTACCTAACAATTGTTTCTTTTTGTTAATAATTGCTTTGATACAGTGCGCTATCCTATACTATAACCTAGAAGTTCTTTTAGCTTTTATACTGTGTAGTAAAAAATTCTGATTAAGGTATTTTATCTAATAATTTGTCATAATAATTAATATTATAAAAATACAGCTAATTTACCATCTTTAATCTTGTCAGATAATGTTATTTAAATCTTTGACAAAGTCTAGGGTCACACTCAGGGTCCTCTCTCAGAAGGAGTTCAGAAAGTAAAGGGGTCCTCTCTGCACCTCTCTGCACCTGCCCTCTGCATCAGGGCTTCTCTTACAAACTTTATTGGAAGCTCCCACTCCACTGGAGACAGATATCTCAGTACATTTAGTAATACTAAAAAATGGACATATTTTCAGGTTCAGTATGGATATTTATTTCTCATTTATTCCATTCATGCTGGTCTTTTTATTTTTCAATTACAAATTGCAATTTTTACTTCTCTAGGAACACTTTGCTCTAATGAGGTGACTTGTACAATTTAATACATTGATGCCTTTGACTTATTGTGTTATCCCTTTCTTTTTTGAGGTAAATAACATGAAAGTATAGAGAAGGGAAAATACAAAACACAAAAGAATAATTGAAGCCTTTCCTGCAGTTACAAGAATTGTTAGATTGTGAAGAATATTACAGTTTGTTTACCAGCATAGAAGAATAGCTCCATGTTTTTTCCAGGTTTACTAAGAAAATATTTGATGATGTACATTCATTCTATGTGTTACAACTTATGAATCTCCAGTCTGTGCAGGAATTACCATGGAGTATCACACATAAAATAATTTCAATTTTCTATAGGTAAGCATATCTGGATATCATAGAGGAAGCTGATTCATTCTAGCTGCCTTCCCAGAAAGGTTGAGCTCCTAGTGATCTTCTGAAATATCTGCCAGTCCTATCAACACCATCTTTGGTTTAACCAAGGGAATCTAGTTCCTACTCCAGAAAACCAATAAACATTCATATCCTCACTTAAAAAAATATATTTTGTAGAAAAGGCATGAATACCCTAACTTTGAAAATTTATTTCTAGAAAATAAATGTCAAAATTTTTGTATCTCTAATGATTCACTTTGGATTTAAATATTCACAAGACATTTATCATGTTTTCATAGCCAAAGAATTTTAATTTATGATACTTTTCTGAAATCCTCTCCAGTCTGTATTTTCCTATAAAATTTTCATTGGTCTTAAATCTGCCAAAATCTACAATACAATTATCAATGTTACTTAACAATAACTGAGTTATATTCCAAAACAATTTTTTCAAAGAACCTATGAACCTTTGGCTATAGCAAAAACAAACAAACCAACAAGACAAACTCCTGGAATTTAAAAAAAACTCCTAATAAAGGAATATTTGGATAAATTGACAAAAATGAAATATGGCTAAATCTTGAATGGTAATGCATGTCACGTATTGAACTACAGCATTGAAAGCTGCATGGAGACAAAGATTTATGACAGATAATAAGGCTTTAATTGGATCTTGATCAGGAAATATGAACACTGAGCATCTGTGGTCCAGCCGACCAGCCAAGTGCCCTGAGTGAGCTCAGTCCTGGTCATGCCCTCCCTTGCAGGTGCCATTCTGTAAATACTGAGTGGTTCAGTGGAGCTGAGGCTGTTACAGACAAAGTGCAGCAATAAAGAGGGGATGGATGAAGGGAAAAGGGAGAAGAGTAAACTAGGGAGATATAAAATAGCAACTAACCAGGAGAATTAGACATTTAACTATAAATTAAGACAATTCAAGAAATAGTGATTACTGTGAAAATAACTTGGGTGGTATGAGGGCGATGATGATTATACTGAATAACACTATACAAAAAATCTGTAGAGTCATAAAATACTGACTCTGAACAAAGAAGGAAAAGATCAAAACCAGATACAAATGGAAACTTATCTGTTGCTGCTAATAAAATGTGGAAAACTACAGATTTCCCTGAAATGCAAGTATGCATGTGACTCTCTTATTCTGCTACATTTTGTTTTGCTATCATTTCCTCTGGGAAATGGTAGAGCAAAATTCAACCATCATTTGGAACACATGGCTTTTATTTCATAGTTAAATTGTACAGACTATGCAAATGATCATTAATTGCTCTCTGGAGAGAAGTGTGCCCCCTTTTTGATCTATTGATTTATCCTGTTCATTCTTCTGAGAGTACAGAGGCATTGGAGGAACTGCACAGCAGGCAGTTTGAGCAAGGGATTTCAAACAGAAGATGTGTAAGAATGTAGTGTGTCACAAATTTAATTTTCTCTTGTTTTTATATATTAATATATAATACAACTTGAGTAAAGATTATGCAATGTTTTTACCCAAACAACACAATTGCTTTTGATTAATTTTTTTTTTATTATTTACATTGGCAAAATGTGTATAAGCCATTATTTCTCAATTGATATAGTCATTTAAACACAGGGCATATACTCTAAATTTAATTCTATTACTAAAATTTTAAAAACTAGATTATAATTCAGTTGTTCTCCAAACCATTTCAATGATTGAAAGCCACAGGCAAGAAACAACAATTTACAAAAAATGCTGTAAACTTTAGAACACTGGTAACCTCCGAGTACAAAATCAGTTTAGCATTTCATGGTCTGCTCCAATGCTAAGGCTGGCGTTGTGTCCCCAGGCTCGCTTAGGATGTAAATGTGGCAGGAAATTTAAATCTGTGAATTTACATAAAGTTCCTAGCCTTTCTTTCTGTTTTCAAATGCACACATAAGACTACATCCTTATTCAGCATTATTATCTTTTCGTTCTCTGTCTGTCCATTTTAAAAATACATCCATTTGCTTTTCTTCTACATTTTCTTCCACAATGTACATCAAAAATCTCTTGTGCAACATTCTACTGTCCAAAGTACAGACAGTACGCAAATAGCGATCCTTAAAACAATTGAAAACGTCCCATCTTGCCCCTCTAGACACAAAAATATCTGCCAAATTAATGTTTATGCGTTAACAGCTTTCTGTCTTTCTCTCATTTAACTTACAAAATTTAACTTATATTTAACTTACAAAACGCTCAGTTTTTAAAATGTATGCAGCTTCACAGCTGCTAGTGCAAATCAGTTAAGAAGATACCAGTACCCTACAGGAAAAAGACAGTGACCTAGCACATGATCATGTAATTAAATTTAGCCACCCAGCCTCAATAATATTCTAAAAATACATCTATAGTAAGATTTGCTCTGGAATTGAAAAAATTAGAAACTAGAACATAAATTCTTCTCTCTTAAAGAGCATAGGAAACATGCCAGTGTACAAGAAGAAAATTTAACTCTGAAGCAGTATGACCTGTATTAAACTTGTAAATGTAATATTTGACAGTTAATGTTAATGTAACAACTCCTCAACTGTTGTAAATTAGTCAAATCTCATTAAGGACAACAGAAATACACTACTTTACATGTGCACAGAATCTCTCCTTAAGGCTTTTTCTTCTCTTGTACTCACCTATTCAGGGAGTTGTAAATAACACTTTATTAATAACAACAAGGAATAAACTTCACCAAAAATTTCAGTCATCTACAACTTTGAAAGATCATTTCTGAAACCAATTCTTTGAATAGACAGGGACACAACTCCTCCTAAGTAGGAAAGAGCACTTTCCTACTTAGGCCATTCCTTAGGAAATTCTAGTACAAAACTAACAACATTCTAATTTTCCTTATCCTTCAAATGCTCTCACAAATGAGAAAAAAATGTCCATCAGGAAGATATCCTTCAAGTATATATTTCAATTTCCTGTTTATATTTTAATTTGAGGGCACACTTCAGTGACTGCAAGATCCAAATTATGGCCAAAAAATTAAGTGAACGCATCAAGGCACTAATTATGGCATTTTCATTCCTGTTCCCTTCCCTTCTAAATATGAGAACAGGAGAGATGGCAATGGAGTTGTTTTGTGTTGTGTGTGTGTATTTTTCTATTAACCCTGTTGAGTCTGACAATACCACTAAGAAACTGATCAGTACAAGTTACCAATACGCAAGAAAAGAGGAAAATGAGAGCAGCTAATGGAGAGCTCTTGCAGGAGCTGTGCTGGGAAGAAGTGCAGAAGATGTTGAAGATCCATTCCCTTTGCAAGTCTTCTTAAACTTGGTCTCTTAGTTGTGTCATGAAAATTTATGCATTATTTTCATCAACTTTCTTGTAAAGGAAGAAAGCTAGAAAGCAATAAAGAAAGCCTTATATTTACATAAAGTAGGGGCTTTTATTATGGAGGTAACAATGTAGGAGCAAGTTGTGAAGCTTGAAAAATCATACTGCATTATAAATGCTGCTAAAAGTAAATAAATAAGAACAATATAGAAAGTATGGATTATATAATTTATAATTCCAAATATTTTTCAAAATGCAAATATAGAAAAGAATTTATCTAAGAATCAATTTTTTCACTGCAATCCTAAAAAAATGGGTCCTTTAACAAATAAATATTCATGAAGTCATTTAACTCTCTTAATGTCAGAGAAATCTGCAATCTGACCTTCCTCTAGTTTGGAAACAGATAAGTGAAACAGACAATAAGTTTTCAGAAAGGTAGGTCACAGAGAAAATTGCAATAGAAAATATATACAGTACCCATGGCTCCTCTTTTAATTTTCTTTTTGGAAGTCTTTTAGACAAATCAGGAAACACTATGGTACACAAATAATCACAAATAATGATTTTCACAATCTTCTCTGTATGTTCTTTGACAGGTTCCCCATATGTCAGGTTCCTAAAGCTAGCTATACAGCAAATACATTTAAAATTAAAAGACTGGGCAGTTATTTTCAATGGAGTCAGGAAAGGGGAGAACTTTGGTTTTTAGTTTTTCTGATCAAATAAGAAATCCTAAGGGATTTTTTGTTTGATTGTGGGGTTTTAATTTGCTTTTTTTAAAAACAGATTTAAATAACAATGTTAAATTGAACATAATTTTTAAAATTTGGATACAAGCTAAAAATCCTCCACCCACATCACTCTAATTAATGCACACCTCCCATTTCACATTTTCCACTATTCTTCCTGTATGAAACAACAAAAGTTCAAAGAAATGAAGAGACAAAAATAAAATATTATCATTGTTCTGGGGCTTTTAAACCTCACATCCCCAATATCTATTGCCTGCAGAAGCAGACATGAACAGTATTCCCATTTTCCTGGATCATATAAGAGTATTTATTTGCCTTTTTCTCAATTTTAGTTACCTTTATCACTGAAGAGGAAATTATCATTGCCTTCTCAGCCAGAAAAACTACTGAAAAATCTTAATATTAGTTGGCAGACTATCCGGAAAGAACATACAATAAGTAACAGGATGGTGACCATTTCTAATTCTGTAATTTACAAAATTTAGGAATATGGGTATTATTTTAAATACAACTTTGTAACTTGATTAAATAAAGGAAGTTACCACTGTGATACATCTCCACTGCTGATTTTTATGACACATCTTAGTGAAAATGATAATGTTCAGAAATCTGATTTTTTGGACATGTTCAGCATCCCCGGAGGAAGAAGTGGCAATGATGATAATTTGTCCTGTATATGCTGGTAGCAGAAATTTTGGCAGCTCTGCATGTTTTAAAGTTGTGAGTTAAAATATTTTGTTCCGGGCATCTCACAATAAAGTGGAATTTAACATTTTATAGTATATGTTTAACAAGCCACATTTGGATTACTAATAATAGTAGAAAAAAATTCAAATATCAGTGTTGTAGTTTAAACTCAGCTGGAAATTAAATTGAATTAACTGGAATTAACTCAGCCACTTCCCTCCTCCTTCCTCCTCTGGCGAGAGCAAGAAAAAAGCAGAGTTTCTGGTAAAGAAAAATTTCCTTGATAACAGCAATGAGAGAAGAAACAAGCAGCAACAGAAACAGTATTAGTGACAAAAGGATACAAAAGAGAGGGTGATTTACACACAAAAAGGTGGTCACCATCCCAGCCCAGCTCCATGTGACCACCAAGGCAAACCAGAATGAGTTTGCCTTTTCTCCCCACCAAAGCCCCACCAGTGACAGGCACGGTATAGAGCAGCAACCCAGACACGCCCAGACAGCTCCAGACTCCAAGCCCTTGGCCACTGCAAGAAAATTCAGACACAAAGGATCCCACAAAATGAAACCAAAGTAAAACAAGAAAAAAAAAATAAAAAAATAAAAAAATAAAATCTGCCTGGGACATCAAGCACTGAAGCTTTTCATTCAGTATCATTTCTTCAGAGTTTAGCTGTGACCACTTATTATTTTTGGCATTATTAATAAGTAAGTTCTACATATTAATTAATCTAATTTTCATTTGATCATCTATTTTGTACTGGCTGATATTCAGAACTTTTGATTTTTGTTAAGACAGGAAACATTAATTTACAAAAATCAATTCTTAGATTTGTAAATTTATTGTCTTCTTACTATCTGACAGCTAGAAATGAAATTAGGAGTTTCCCTGAGACTTCAGGAGTGTTGGCAGCATAAACAGCATTTCCAGAAAACACTTAACTATCAAGATGGAATTTCAGTTTTCAGACATTTAATTTCAAACACTCATTGTAATTAATACTTCCACATTTCGAGAACTCAAAAAAAAATTATGAAGTATAAGCCATGAAAATCTGCTACATTTCATGATGCATTACAAAGATTTTAATGTCTTGCTAAAAAGTATTTTGCTTTATAGCCTGTTTTCTTATTTTCAAATATTTATGAAAATGCTAATATTAATAGTACTTATAAGGTTAAAATTCACAGTTTACTGTAGAGATTTATTTTCTCACCTCAGGCACTGCCTTTTCATAAAAAAAAGGTTATCTGTATACCCAGATGCATATCTTTGTTTTTTGATCTTTAATATCATAGAAAATATGATATAATCTAAAAAATTGAGTGCTGCACCAGAGAAACTTTAAGGTGATCTTAATTTCCTTCCTTGCAGTTTAAGAAAATAGATTCTACATTAAAGTATTTATGATTTTAGGTAAGGTATATATTTCAATATACTCAATAACTTTTGTAGGATATCCAGGGATCTCCTTAAAGGCCGTGACCTTGACTAAACTTTATTTAGCCTGGAGGTTACTTGAAGTACTGTTGTGTTCTTCAGAGGTGTTAGTATGACTGCAGAATACTAAATACTTTTTGAAAAAATATTGTCTACCAAAATAGTTCAAAATGAAAATAGCCTCTGGTTTAACTCCAGATTCTTTTATTTCACTGGCAAAGGAGACACAATGAGACTACAGAGAATACAGGCCCTGTTGCTCATATTTCACTGAAACCCACTGTGCTATACATGCAAGGACTGCCATTTGCACGCTCATGAAGCCAGCTATGTATAAAGGAAAGACATGATGAAAAGGGAAGCTTTAAGGAGGAATCAGATTTGGAGCAGCTTGGAAAAGTTGAATTGGGAAGGCAGAGGTTGTCTGCTCCAAAAAAATTGATCTAGCAAACCCCATGGGGAACCTGCTTTCTGTAGAGTCGCCCCATGCAGTGTTTCGTAGAACATGCACTGTAACAGCTAGCCTGAATATCTCCTGCCTTTGCTTTTTCTCTTTATTTTCACTGCTTAACAGATTAAAAATCTGTTTAAAATAATGTATTTTCAAGCTAGTGGTTTTGTAAAGCTCTTTTTTTTTTTTTTAACAGATCTAGTGGAGATGAAGAATTAGTATTCGAATGCTAATAGTTAAGAACTAGTAAACTTGCCAATCCATTATGAAAATCTTTGTTTCTATGCAATCACTCAGCTATGATGCTGACTTAGCAACCATGTTTCTGGCTGTGAGAGTAGAGTGACTGAAGCATTTTTAAAGGAAAGTAGTAAAGAAAAGGCAGTGTAAAATTCAGATCTGGATAACAGAACTTTTACCTTCTTATTGCCATGTTGTTGGTTTTCCTATCTTTTCAGTTGTTTCCTTTGAGATGGTCAGCATTAAGGGCTTCTCTAAAAATAGAATGGAAGTTGAACAGGAAACTGCTCACCAGCACGTCTTCCTTCCTTCCTTCCTGCATGGAAACTTTCTCTAGATCTGAAGGTGGAAAAAGAATGTCAAATCCTTTATTTTCTGAAACATAGATTGGGAATGTTCATAAAAACATCTTTACCTATTGCACAAAGAGTAGCCTAGAGTGGTAATGTGGAAGTATACTTGGGAGAAAGAAGTGCCATGCACCTGATTGTTTATTGAATTTCACTTTCTAGTGTGAACTTCTCAGTGAACTATCACAAAACTTCAGTAAACTAAGAGAGATTCTCTTTTCCTACCTGGAGTCCAAAGTATAAATCATCAACCTTTTAGCACAGATTTATGTTAAAATTATTAATATGAAAAATAGTTGACAATTAGATATCTCTGACAAAAAACACTGGTTTTTTGTCAGTCATGCAGATGATCCCTCCACAGTAAATCCAAAAATACAAGGACAAAACTATGGGAGCTGGAAGGATTCCCTTCAGTGACTGAAAGAAAAATGTCATGGTGAGATACACAGAGAATCAGCATCATGCTCTCTACTTACCGCTGTTCAAAAATCTTCTGGATTTTACTTTTTAATGTAAAATTTCCCACTTATTTTTTAAGACATATTTTTTTAGTATTGGTGACTCTGGAAAGCTTTAAATATTCTACCATTTGTTTTCTGTATGCAAAATTTCAAATGCCTAACTTCAGCAACAAGAAATTTTACAGATTTAACAAACTATTATTACCATTTCACATCCTTGATGAATGCTAGTACTTTTAAACTGTGGGGGCAATAACAGAAACATTATACTGAAAAATCATTGGTGCCAAATTTTTTTTAAACTTTTGAGAAAAATTACATATTTATACGCATTTTCATATTTTATTCCTTTATTTACTGACTCCAGATATATGGACAGTTATTACCTGCCACACTGAGCAACACTGAAAACAGCTGATTGATAACAGAATGACTCTCAGAGAGTACCATGCATTTTATTTTGCATATTCTCAAGGATACTCATGAATGAAGAAAGAAAATTTTACCTTTTTTCAATGTTAAGAAGGAAGGGAGGGTAAGAAAAATCTGGTTTATTTTATAAGACTGCAATATTATGAGTGTAAAAATTCTTGTGAAGGAGACTATATTTATTTTACCTCCCTTTCTGTGTTCTAAATATTACTTTGATCAGTTCTGTTTAGATACTCCTGATGAATATATCTGACAGAAATATTCCACACCTTATGTTTATGCACCCTAATTTCTTAATTTTTCATAGGAAGAAAATAGAATGAATGTTCATAATCTATCCAAGGAGAGAATATGATGGACCACATACTGCTCTTGTCTGCTATGATAAAGACAGATCTTCAAGGTAACAGCAAATCAGCTCCTCTGCCCTTCCTCAAGTAACCAGCCTGTGGCTGAGTGTTAGCATTACTGAACATATCCAAAGCTTATGGTAAAGAAGTAAAATATTTTAAATGTAATTAAGGCGGCTTTTCCTAGGCCTGGCTCTGTTTCCTCAAGTCAAGTTGCTCCTCACTTTCTTTAGCTCTGTAAAAAGGCTATTTGGTCCAAACAAATCTGGAGGCTGCTGAAGCCAGCTCCTTGCATTGCTGGCAACTCAAACAAGTCTCAGTGCAGACTTAACTCTACTTTTAATTAAAGTCTTCATAAAATAATTTAAACCTGTAAAATCATATAACTGAATTAATACTACAATTACCTTTTTATCTTTTCTGCATTTTTAATAATAAATACCTCACAGAAGACTACTGCTGCTAATACTTTATTTTCTTGTTTTCAGAACAATTTAAGATAAACCTTCTATTCTCTGTGCAGCCTGCATTGATTTTGCCTCCCCTTCTATTCTAAAAGATTTTAACAGGCTAGGAGAATGTGTCAGATCTCTACTGCAACTGTTATTACCAGAATTTGCATATCCTTTTTTGCTGAACTGTAAAGTCAGCATTCCAATTTTGAATGAGCTCTGGTTTCCAGACATGAAAAAGCATTATGGGGCCTGGATACTATCAGCCATCAGATTACCTTTCTTGGAGCTCGTAATATTACTTCAAATATACCTCTATCCTGAAACTAAAGTCCTGAAAAACAATGCTTTTCTTACATGATTCTAAAAATGCAGCCTTATACTGCTTGGCATCAAGGAATGTAGGAACATTAATATGTTATGAGATGAAGCAGTACAGAGCACACTGCACAGTTGATGGGAGGAAGGCTTGAAAACATCGTACCACAGAGCTATCACACATTAGTTGGGAAGGGTCACTGAAAACAATCATATGTGAATGTCTAAAAATTGTGAGAGGATGTGCTTGGGTAGAGGGTTAACTCACAAAATCTTCCAAGATCATCAGATCTGTAATCAAGAAGCATTTTTCTCATATACTGGGCAAGCAAAATCCTGGACTTGCTGAGATGTTTTTAAAGTTTCTTTCTCCTTGTTACAGCAACTATCTTTCACAAAAGGACTTTAGAAACTCTGTCAGTCTTTATCTACAAACATCCTGGCAGATTTCAAGTGACATTAAAGAACTTACTTTTGTTAGAGGTTGTGCAGATTTTCTGTGGCTTGTATCACACTTGGATGTGTAATTGTCTTTGTGTTCTTTCCAGATTACACCTATCCTATTCATCAAATTGGTAGGCTGACATGATGAGCCGCTCCAGTCACAGGGTCCTACTACAAATCTATTTTCAACACCTTTTTAGAGTATTATATCAACAACTTGTAGCTCAGATTTTAACTAAAGTCAAAGCTGTAAATGTTTCTCTTACAAAATTTTATCACTAGTCAAATTTTTTAGATGACTGAATAATTTCAGAACATTCCTGTAACTCTTGGTAAGTTCTGCTTTTATTCTTAAAAGTTTCCTGACTAGATGCTTGTTTGGAACAAAAAGCATCTGGTTTACCATAGAATTATGGAGTAATCCAAGTTGAAAGGACTGGAGTGCCCTAATTGAGACTCCTACACAAATCTCAGCTAAGAGGACATGCCAGGTGTGTAGGGCTTTATACTCTGCTCCAGGTCCAGAGTGTCCTAATGGCTGTGGTGGGTTACCTTGTCTGGCTGCCATATCTACACCCACCCATTCCCTGACTCCTTTTCCTCAATAAAATAGAGACAGAAAATGCAATGGAAAAAGCTCATGGGTAAAGGAAAGGACAAAGAATTAAATTATCAAATATCTTCACAGGTAATGCAAACTGAGCGCGGGAAAATTAGCTCATTGCCAGCTAAAATAGATTTCACTAGTGAGAAACAAATAAAAAAATTAAAATAATCTTTCCTTCTACTCACCCTCTTTTTTCTTGGCTCAAATGTACTCCTTCATTCCCTCACTGAGCAGGGAGGTTGGAGCAGATGACACCAGTGGGGTCACTTCCCACCTTACCCACTCTGTGTCCATGTGTGTCTACATCTCTGGGATACATGCTCAGCTTCACATCTGGTTGAACCTGTCCACAGGAAAGTGACAGACACATCCCTGAACCTGGGATGAAACCCTTAATCCTCAGGCTGTGCACCAGCACCTCAGCTGGAGGGAGGCCCAGATCTGCTGTAGGAGGCTGCTTTTAACATCTTTATTTCACATCACAAGTTAAATTACTAGCTAAACCTGAGTCTGTAAAGGAAATCTTATGACTATTATGTCTTTGTGAAATTAATAAGCATAACATGGTTTTAACAGCACAAACAGAAGGCGAAAGAATGGCAACAAAGCATTACACCTGTAGGTTAACACCTATACAGATTTAAAATCTCTTATCCACTTTTCAGCTCAATCCACTTGTCTGTCCTTAACAGCAATTGTGTCCTTGCTTATTAAGGAGTTTTGAATAATTAGGTTCAGCTGAATGTAATTAGCATCCAGCTGGCAGTGCTTATCTAAGTTGCATTGAATGGTGATGAATTCTATGAAAAAAAAAAATAAATAAAGCAACAAAACCACCTTTTATTGTCAGGGGTTTTTTCCCATTTCCTCTTGACTTGCCCACTTGGTACTATAAGAGGCCTTTTAATATTGCTTAGGACTAGTTGAATACACTGTGTTTTACTAGTGACCTGCTGCTTGCTTTTGAAACAGAAGCTTGGTAAATGTCTGTATACTTGTTTCTCTCAGTGATGGAAAATTCAGGAATAGCCCTAAGATGTTTTTTGTTACTGGTTTCTCTACAAGTAAAGGTTTTAAGGTGAAATGTAGCAAGATTTTGTTGGATGAGAGTAAAGTATAAGTAGATGCAGATCTGTCAGACAAATCAAGGATTAAAGAAATAATTTGTTACAGAGTGTTGTCTGTGGAATCCTGGCACACCTTTCATGGGTTCATAAAGTTCTTGGGAGTGTGATTTAGGTTTATATACTTTAGGAATTTTAATGGAATAGTAACTAATTCTTTCACTAAATGAAAAATGTATTAGTTCTTGATCTACCTGAAGGCACATTGCTGTCTTTTTTGTCTTTTCCTTTTTTCTCTGTTATATTTATCACATTCTGCCCACCAAGTTATTGGTATATCTGTTCTCTTATTGACTTTCAGAAGCTCTGCTTTCTTTTGCATTTTCTGCTTTCTATTTCTGATTAAATATTTCAGGTTTAATTCTTATCTCCAGAGAAGAAATTCCAAGTATTATGTTATTTTAATTCTGTAAATTTCCCTCTACAAATCCTTTTTTATCTCATTTTCAAGTGTCTTGAATGTAGTTTTAGAACACTAAAACAAATGAAGTTCTATAGATTTTTCTAATTCTCTTTGTAGAACTTTTATTCTTTCAGCTCTCTTTGTCTTTCTTTCTGTTTGGTTTTGTCCCTCATGTCTCAATACATGTTTGGAAATGTTTGTGATAGAGACTATTTGGTAGATGAGCTCTAAAGCTTTTGCAAAAAACTTGCTTCATTTTCACCATTCACTGAATTGTCTTTCAATTGTAAAATACTGTGGGAGGAGCTGAGAAATAGTTTTAATTACAGCAATTTTAAGTACACAGAGTAGATTTTTTTTCCTGTATAATCAACAGAAAGAAGACAAAACAAACTCAACCAAAAGATAGAGCTTACATTTTAAAATTAACAAATCTTTATTCTTCAACTATTTTTCAATGCTAGGTACATCTATACTTTCCAAAAGTACAAAGTTAGGGGAAAAAAAAAAAAAGAAAATCATACGAAGGAAAATGTGGAAACCATTTTTAGGACGAATTTTGTCAGTTTAAGACTTACATGTTCCTGATATTGTGCTCAGGAAGCATACAGTAGTGTCCTCTGTCCTGTGCTCTCCTAGCTTTCATTCTTCTTTTCTAGCCTCTTAAAATAGCATATTTTTATCTCCTATATATATTTTATGGAATTTAGTATTTTGCATCTGAATGAATGGATCAGTTCTGGAGTTGTATGCACTTGTCTGAAAGCAGAAAAATGACACCAAATATATTTCACCTTTTTCCAACGGGACGGTGTTCTGCTCACTTTTGTTTTTTCCAGAAATGAATTCTCCAGGGCATATCTATCTCCTGTAAGAGTCTCCTTTTCAAAAAATGCACTGGATTGTTAAAATGTTTGTATCTTTGATGTTATATAACTACTGTGAGAGATGTTCAATATTTTTAAAAGGAAAGAAATTACCTCCTACAGTATGTAGAACAAACCTTAATATAAACTAGAATCCTTAACCTCTAATTGGATGTTTTTATTCAGGTGTTAGCCTGAAGAGGGAATAGATAGGATGTTTGACACCTGAAACATCAGTATTGTGTTAGATACTCTTTTGACTAGGGAAATAAAACTTCTAGATGGAGATTTTCTAGATTTCATATGAATCTATTGTAACATTGTCTGAATTGTGAATCAATCCTTTAACTTATACAGATATATGAACCAAGAAGGACCTTCTCTGACATTTTATACTTCCCGCTTTAGAATTTAAAAAATCCATAATATTTAACCTAAGTGATTAGATTATAGGTTCTAAGTTTAAAGTGCTTCCATACACTTTGGGATCTTGCTTGACAGAGAAATTTTTGAGAGACTATTTGCTCTCTAATTCTTTATGACCACATTCCTCTTTATGAAAGGAGCAAAAGCCAATTTATGATTTATGATTTTCAGCCATTTAATTGCAAGATGTATCAGATGCATCTTAAACATTGCAAACAAAACAAGGACTTGGTAACATTGTGAAAAACATTCAAATGTTCTTAGACATTTTGACACTTGACATAATCTCACTCCTTTCATGCTGCAACAAAAAAGATTTTGTCACTCTGTGATAAATCTATATATAAGAAAAAGAATGCAAACACTCAGATGCAACCAAAGCCCAATATGTTTAGAAATAATTTCTCCATCCTTTCTCTTAGGGTGAAAAAAGCACTGTGCTATCTAACAGTGCATTCAATAAGCAGGTGTCATTTTCAAATTGGATCTTTCTTTTCTGCAATTTGGTCTAAATTTTACTTTTTTTGTGACCTTACTAACAGAGAGTTTTGGCAGGTAATCTTGCACAGAGAAGCATCTAGGCTTTCAAACAGTTTGTATTTGGAATCAAGGAACTTCTTCTGCTAACACTAAAAAATAGATAGCTGCCTTAGAAATGCAATCCAGCATACGACACCAAATATCATTCTCCTCATGTATCAGTTATATATCCTGTAAAGCATCCCCAGCAAGGTATTTTCAGCCTTACTGACCAGTATTGCCGTTTTTAGCCTGGTATTCTCTTGATTTCCTGCTTCCCTGAATCCATCTCCTGATTTGTTTTGTGAATTCTCTTGGGAACGAATAATTTTGATATGTCTTTGCAATGTATGTATTTGATGGATTCCAAGCCCACACTCACAATTCTTCAATATTACAGCAAGAAAAATAATTAAAAGTATTCCTCAATATCCACATCATAGTTACTTGGCTAAAAACCAAGTATGGACTACACAGATTACAAAACTGGAGCAAATATAAAGTTCTTTGCTACCAGACACTATTAAAAATCAAAGCAACTGCTGTCTCCAGCTGGCACAAATTTTTAATTATACTTCAGCAATATCTAATTGCAAATGAACTTGTGTACTTTTTATGGTCAAAATCTTGTTTATGGGCAAAAAGAAAGCATAGCATATGGACAGACAGAAGCATCTAAATAGGCATGTAAAGCAAAGATTATGTATAAAAAGCTCTATAGATAGAGGTGTAAAATCAAGAAATTAATGTTAGTATAATTGAAATCTTAACAGTATAATTATTATTAGTCCAGATCTAAATGTTTCAAAAAACCCCAAAAATCTAGATATTAATTTGTTACACACATCTTCATTTCTACTCCTTTCCAAAAACGTAGAGTTTGTGCTATCTTATTACATAAACAACGTGTAAGCCATTTTTTGTGGTTAAATTCCATTTTTATACTGATTTCCTCCTTTTTGGATTAATAATTCCCTCCATTGTAGAGTTAACAAGATTTTCTCTTTCTTTTAAAGATTTTGCTAAAGTATTCAGACTACATTCTCTTTCTCCAAAGTGATTTAATGTGTACAGTTTATATACATTCCTTTACTGAAAGTGAGCAGTGGAAAACTGCTCTTAACTTTAGGGAGATTTTTAAAGATTAAATCTCAGAGTGTCAGTTCTTCTCTGAAACGTCTGGTGCAGTGGGACCATGTGATTGGTGCATTCTGCCATCTGATATAAAAATGGATTGCTGCTAATTTCCTTCGTTGTGTGCTGCTGCCAAATATTTATGTGGCAGCATGGTAACAGTACATTCAGCAGTCACATCTGAGTACAGGATTTCTAGCTGAAGGAGAGTTCTGAGACATGGAATTAAGCCAAAGAATAGACTATTCCATGACTTTTCCAACCTCCTCTTCTAAGAATGTATCTCAATACAGTCTTTTTACAGGCAAAATTTGAAAACCTAAAAAAAAAGGCAAAAGACAGAAATGCAAAATTTTTATTTGTACTATATTAAATCTACATTGAAGCCTAGCACCATTTAAATGAGTTGAATATGTTCTCCCACACTCACTGATGTACATTTTCAGTCCTTAATCACTGCCTTATAGACACTAAATCCATTGTTCTCTTATTTCTGCAAAGCAGGGTTTTTTCTCCTGAAACAGTTAACAATTGAGCATAAGCCATTGATCTACTGCAAAAACTTTCTTTGTGTCATGGTGCTGATTTTCTACCCAGTCTGAATAAAAATGTGCCAAGAGTGGGATTATTCAAGCTTCTATTTTTCCTCTAAACCTTCAACAATTTATACTGCATGGTCTTCTCTACACTTGTAAAGGATACATTCTTATTTACTTTCTCATTAGTAAGAATGATGATAAATTTTTCCTTGTGTTTCTTTTGTTTTGTTTTTTTTCTCAGCTTACACTGAGGTTGACAGTATGGACTTTGCTAAAATGCTCTATTTGTCTGTGCTTTGTTGTGCTAGTCTTCAGAGGAATCTTGGAGAGTCAGTAATATGCAGTCTTCTGGCAAAGAAAATAGAATGGATAATTGTGCTCAGTGGATAAGAATTCCAGTGCATTATTTTCTTTCTTCTTGAATCACTAATATTCCCAAGGAACTAGCTTGTTGTCAATGAGATTCTGTTTCTCTTTTTCTTATCATTTGTCTTCATTCATTGCAGCCATTGTATTAATATGTTTTACTTTGCATTTTTAGAATATTTTATCTATTGCGCAGGGATTGTAATAATCCAAAGCTAACTAGACTTTAAGGTGTGAAGATGTCAAATGCCTATTGTCTGCAGTATGTGTATGGAGACAGTGTCATTTCTCTAGGAAGGAAAAAAAAAG